CGTCTCCCACGAACCCCCCCGACAAGCAAAAAGCCAAGGGGTACAGGGTTCTCAATCGCTGTTGCATGCAAGTAGACTAGAATCATGGGTTGATATTGAACTAATGTAGAAGCGGTAACCTACATACTTAGTAATGAACGCTTTGACCGGTTCCATTCTTGGAACGTCCCATGTTGGCAAGGGGTCGTAGCTCGGAAGACGTTTACCTGTGTGACCTTGGCTGCCAACTTTGAACTGGAACCATACGCATTTTAGTCAATATAATGCACAAGTTAATAAGTAGCAAAGATATAAGCGAGTTTCCTCGTGATGCTTTGCCGATAGCTCCTCATCAATGGACCCCAGGGATGTACATGAGACAGGGATTCCTCCGAGCCAATTTGGCAACACCCTCTGAGATTAGTGTACAGTTCAGAAGCAAGTGATTGCGGGACTAACAGGGTTCAGGGCCCCAACAGTTTAGAGGGTAAGGAGAATAGTGTAACCCAGATATAGTGATACCAAGGCGCTACACGCGTAAGGCTTTATCGATGTGGGTAGTACTCGAGTCTGGGATATCAGTCCTCCATCAGTAGTCAACTTGGACGGTTTTAACTTCGTCTCAACTACACATACAAAGTCGCATTGCAAAAGTATTGAGAGACTATTGGGCGCATTCTGATTGATCATCTGTGACCTCACGAGCAATGTAAATAGAAACAGGCGTGCCCTGAGTTAAGAGCCATGTGAGTTTAGACATTGCAATATCTGCTAACAGTAGACAACTGAGTTTGTATTTCATGTGTCATGTGCTTATATTACATATTATATACACAAGGTATTGTTAACTGCGTCTATCTCGAGCTTCTACATCGTGTGGTAGCCTCCATGGCAGCTAACACGGGAAGTATAGATACTCTAAGTCCACTGCAAGGCTTGTGTACGGCTCATCCAGAGTTGCCAAAGTCCAATTCAGGCTCCACGGTGTTAAGGGGAGGGTATAGCATTCCTGTGTTCAAAAGCGTATGAGTATTGTTATCTTCAATATCAAGTACAATGGTCAATCGCCTCTCCTTAGATAGAATGGTGTCATACACCACTCTGTTTGCTCAGCACCGAGCGCTGTGCCAACTATACTTGACGATACCTCACACTGGCCTCGTACACTTACCAAGGGGTTTTGAAACATCGAAGGGGTTTCCCTGTCGGCCATCTCTTCCATCATCAGATGTGGCGGTCTAACCCCAAAATTGAGCGCCAACAGTAGTCTATGATGCCTGTATTATGCATTATCGGCACAGCCGGGGTTTTCATTCTCGACTGCATTATCACTGGGGAGCGGGTGATCTACAAGGCTGCGAATGGCCTCGTTTACGAGTCTAGAGGAATCCTTTTATTGCAACTCTTTCGTAATCCTTATATTTAGGGTAGAACCTATTTCTGGAAGAGCTGCTACCTGGATATTTATGTGTGTTATGTTTGACGATTATTGGTGAGAAGCCTGCATAGAAGTTAATGAAAGTGAGACCAAAGAAGGCCTCTCTATATTATCAACATTGTCTCTTTGGCACCTTGTCAAATGTCCCCATACACACTGTAGTAGAATGTTCGGAGATCAAAGCGCGTTTACACTGAACTAGAAGTAAAGCGGAGTACACCAAATCAGGGGCAGACCGTTGTATACTCAATATTGGAGTATAAGTGTAACTATGCGCATGAGCCCATGAGCCTACAGTCACTTGTGATTCAACCCACTTCTTGAGTCGTTCAAATTTGTTAGATCAACTGCTGTGAGTGAGGTAAAGATGCCGAAAATCAAACAAAGCAATGCTAGTCAATACGATCGGGCTAGAGACTACCTATGGTATGCTTAATAATATAAGCAAACCCTAGAGCTCATGTAACTGAGATGTAGTAGTACACAATAAGGTGTGACATCCATGATCACAATAGTTGACTGTAGTTGATAAATGTGAGACTCGTATGCGGCTGGGTTCTTGTTCCTACCCCGTACATTCACCAATAGCGACAAGCTTCTTGGTGCGTGAACTAGGCTTGTGTAGACCCGCTCCCTTCTCGAAGAGGGGAATACTAGTTCATAGATAAATAGGCATAGGTTCGAATCCTGCGAGCGTTAGATCTCATTTTTGACGGCCGTCCACTTTTTTCTACACGTGTAGCAACACCTACCAGACCTGCCCAATGCTAGAAGTCTCGGCCCGTAATTAGTGTGCCGGGCAAGGGTAGATAATGCTAGTGTACACAGAATGATCAACTTGGTGGTTCGCTTTCTACTCAGGGTAAGGTTCATAAGCCCTTAACAAGAACCGATTCTTGATCGCGTTAACCTGCATGCGCTCTCAAAAACGAGGCTCTGAAGCTTCGTTTGGCGGATGATTCGGATCACAAGGGTATAATTAGTCGTTCGGCACGACGCTAACAAGGATGTAACTACTATGAACTTGTCGTAAGTGAAGCAAACTGTGTTTGAACCTTGCAGTTATAAGAACCATCATACCAGATGCATTAAGAGGAGAGGAAGATAATGCCACAAGCCAAGCTGAGTTAAAAGTAGATGAGTCTTGCTATCTGGAATTGTGTGCGCTTAAGACAGGCATCATTCGGATTATGACTAAGACTCTCGCCACGGCAAGCTCCCATGACAGTGATCATCCAAGCGCGCGTAAAGATCTAATGACATACTGGATGTGATGGTTCATACGATATTTGAGGACATAACAGTTATAATAAGGTATATATGTAATCATAAGTATCAAATGATTCCGTAAATCATGCTCGATGAAGCCGAGAGAGCCACGAGCTGGCAAGACTAAACCGAAACTGGTTGTTCTTTCCCCTGTCGCATGGCATAGGTACTTACCGAACTCCGCAAGTAGTGTAAAGCTCTTACTAATGATCAGAAGCAAACCCTTGTAAGATTGGTAGAAAGCTTCAAAGAGAACTAACTTTGAGGATCGAGATGACAGGGACGCGGTCTTCAACGAAGTCGCAAGTACACTGGGTGCTATTACCAAATTCTACATACTTACAAGTAATAAGGAAAAACAAATGTCCGCTGAATCCTAGCCACCGGCCCACCCATAATGAATCTCGCTTAAACTTCGGATCAAGTTAGATTCTACTTAGCCTCAAATTCCTTAGTAGGAATGATTTCATCATTGACCCCGGAGCTGACGGGCCTCTTCGTTCAGTCTAGAAGTTTAGTACAGCTACAGCTAGCTTCGGGCTGCTGTGTTTTAGGCTGGCGCCTGAACGGTCTACCCGAGCAGGGCAACATTGTTCGACGACAAGCCGTACAGTACGCATTGGATAGGTATAGGACCTATGTTTGGATGGCGGGACATCCGCTGAGGTCTTGGCTGGCTCTTGGTCGAGCGATGTCATCATCAGACTCGTAAACGTAGGTTGGTGTGGAGAGCCAGACTGTTCCAGCTGATGAACTAGACGTCGAAGTGTGTAATGGTGGAGAAGGGCTCATCACGGAGCTCAGGACGACCAGTTGATCGTGTTGATCACGCAATGTCCCAACATCCATTTTGGCCTCTAGACCATACAGCAAGTCCAACCGACTAAGACAATCTCGAAGTTGTGATAGTTATCCAACTGATGATTTCAAGACCACCACCCCGTTTCGCACAATCGCAATGAAATGAATAGGTCTAGGGGCGTCTCGAAAGCTAGGGGACTACGCCTTAAAGGGGCCGAGCAGCCATCATACGCAACGCCACAGTGCTCAAGATCGACGAAACGGCATCAGCAGGCGTCGCCTTCTAGTTTGACGAGGGAACGCCAATGGTCTCAGCGAACGTGCGCTTTCGAGACGGTACCCGCGTGCGGGTGCTTCTTCCACAAGCTTCAGAATCCAATTCACCCCTACATGTGTTTGGACATAGCCACCTACGTCGGTCGGATGTTGCGGGGAAATATGAGAAATAGTTGATATCCTCCCGAATGGTTTGTCAACCTTGAACAACTTGCTACTTGTTTTCATAGTTGCTAACCAAAAGGGTACCATTTCGGTTCAGCTGATGCCCTACTTTTCCAACAAGTTACTAAATGCGAGAAAACGCACCCCGTCATGTGCATTATCAAGAGTAGCCTAAGCGAAGATAATACCTAAATGGTTGCGGCCGACCGCACTGAGATCCAAAAAAGAGATTTCTTGAATACTTGATTATCGGGGTTCTCAGTTGTGCCTGCTCGCGGCTGGAAATGGACAACTGCATAAGCTCGTTTTGCCTTTTTTACCCTCACTGATTACGTTCGCCCTGCCTGAGAAGCTTGTAGTTCTCGGAGGTATATGTATTGTGCGGAAGTGGCCCCTGACATGAAAGACTCACTGTTGCATGCACTGTCTCTCCAAACTAGCCGGCTCTATGAATTCGAATGAGATGGGACTGCCGGTCAATGAGTAGATTGGAAACTTGATCTACTACTTGAAGAGGCCTTAGAGAAGCTACACAAGCTTAGAATATACCGTCAAAGACCCTGAAATGTCATGCCAAAATGGCCATGAAGCCAGCTAGTGTGTTTCGCATGACGAAAATGCCATATAATGATGAGAGTACATATTATGGACACCTGAAACATCGGAATATTGATTGCATCATCATACCTACCGTAGAGTATAAAGCTTTTTCCCATGGTGGGACGTTCTCGGCTGCTGTTTGAAGGCGCTGAGCTACCCCTATCCGAGCCAATACCATTGTTTTGGCCCCCAATAAGCTCATCCCGATTACCGTAGCATTCTAGCCGACTCATGCAGCTTTATAATGCCTAGATATATGTTGAATAGTTTTCCCTTGTCCGAGCTGAAAGATGCATGCCCCGCTTTCAGTTCCCACAAGCTTACCAGTAGTTTCTCTCAGCTCTGTCCCTCCACACGATCTTCCCAATTGGCGGACCACTCATTCCCACCACGAGCATCGAATTCGGCATCAGTCTACTGGTGCTAAGCTCAAAATCCATCTTGACATAGTCATTTTTTGAAATTAGACAAGATGAGACTCCTCAAGGTTAGCTCACTTACCTTCCGAGAGTTTTTTGAGCCGGATGTACCGAAATATGCTATTCTGTCTCATACTTGGGAGAAAGAAGAAGTCCTATTTGAAGATATCCATCTCAAAGAGCAAGCGAGGAGCAAGATTGGGTACAAGAAAGTTGTGAAAGCATGCAATCTTGCCAGATCACAAGGTTACAAGTACATCTGGATTGACACGTGCTGCATTGATAAATCAAGCAGCGCCGAACTCACCGAGGCAATCAACTCTATGTATCGTTGGTACAAGGAGTCTGACGTGTGTTACGCCTTTCTTAGCGATGTATCCGGGCGAGATTTTGAAATATCGGCCCCTGATGAGTTGCGTGAGAGCCGTTGGTTCACGAGAGGCTGGACATTACAAGAGCTAATAGCCCCAGATAATGTTGAGTTTTACGGCTCCGATTGGCAGAGCATTGGGAACAAAAAGAATGATACCCTCTGTTCTATCATCGCAGACATAACTAAGATTGACGAGGGTGTCCTGAGAGGGAAGGATATTTTCGATATCAGCATTGCGAGGCGGATGTATTGGGCTTCCGGACGCGAAACTACGAGAATTGAAGATTTGGCCTACTCTCTGCTGGGGATCTTTGATATCAACATGCCATTGATCTATGGAGAAGGTCATAAAGCCTTTCGAAGATTGCAAGAAGAGATATTAAAGACAACGGATGATCAGTCTATCTTTGCTTGGTACAATTACACGTTGGACGGATCTCCAGTCGACATTCTAGCTCAGTCTCCTTCCGATTTCTCTGAATCCGGACGTATCTCTCCTTATACGCCATTCAGGGTAAATAGAAAGGCGACTGCTATAACAAATCAAGGAATAGCTGTTGAACTCCCAATACTATCTTTGCCAAGCCCACTACATACGGAACATTCCCCGTTCGAAGAGATCGAGGCCATACTGGATTGTCAGTTGGGTAGCACTCCAGGAACCTTCCCAACTATTAGGCTACGATCAGTCGAAAGGGGAGGAAATCGTATTCAACGCCACTATTATCGTATAATGGGGGAAACGACAAGTGTGAAAGAGAATATCGATCTCGACCTTCTGACTAAAGATGTAGTGGGATTCGACCCCACACAGCTAGATCAGGATCTCTACAAGGATGCAAGAGGTGATTATCATCTTGAGGACTAGCCTTGTCCTGTTCTGAGTGGGCTCCAAGCTAACATCTAACAGAGAATCTCGTTTGGAACTGTAAGATAGAGACTATTATTATCACTCGGCGAACTCCTAAGCCAAACCAAGTTGATACTGCACACATTCCATGGTCGCTTTCACTTCTAGCTAGCGAATATCCTCCAGATGACACGCCTTTTTGGCTTGCATTGTTCTGCCCAAGTACACTTACCGTGGATATTGCAGATATCTATCCGAAGCAAAGATGGGATAAATCATTAAGACAGATGCGAGTGTCCTCAATACCACAGATACAATATGGATTAGGACAGGTGCGTCGCATTGAGGGAGCTATTAACCTTAATGTTCGTTTTGAATCTTCTGCAAGCTCTTTTGCGGAGAGAATAACTCTCATATTAGGACGTAAGTCCTTTGATAGAAGAGATTCGTACCTCAAACCTTGGTGCCGGATATATAAACCACAAATGGACGCGGCTCAAATTCCCGACTACGTGCAGAACTATAATAGCCTAGACAGAGCCGTAACCCAAATCTTCCCGAGCGGTGAGCTGCCCGAGTCGACGCCCGAGTCGACGAGTATCAGAATCTCAGAAATAGATCCGCAGGTCTTACTCAATGTTAAGGTCCGCATAATGGAGGTGTCTGGGCGGTTTTACTATATTGTTAATGTAGTATATTCGTGGGACGAAGACTACTACTATGGAGGAATGCGGTTGTTAGAATAACGACAGTCATATGTATCAGTGTATAGACGGCCTGACAGGGACTCATAAATATCATTTCAGTTCTACATATTAAAGTTTTGAAGATGGACTGATATCACTGAATAACAAAGTTGAAGCAAAAGCTTTTCTGTTACTTCCCCGGTGGTGTAATTAGAGAGTCGTCCTCGCTTATGTTTTGTGTAACTTATCCTCAGGCCTAGGGGCAATTTTGAAAACCACATAAACCTCCGCCGTGCAATCTTGCCCAGTCTACATCTACTCTGGGGTCTTCAATGCAGACTTGATACAGGAATCAAGGATTCAGTTGAAGTGCTGCAAGATACTAACAGTGTTCTAATCGAGGTATATTCACTATATAGTTACTACAACGCTGAGTGATGATAAAGGTGTAATTAACCTTTTTATAGCTGAAGTATGATTATCGCATTGAGTAGGACTCGTGGAAATCGGGAATTAGTAAACTAACTCAGAAGACCCAGGAGTGAGGCGTATGTGCCGTGTGTTAATATTAAGTTCAATTTCTCGCAGACTGTTGGTGTCCTGACAATCCTTTCTTTTTCATTGTTGGACCTTTTGTATTAAGGGGATAACCTGACGAAACACTATGTAAACATATATTCCATAGAATGCAAGATAATTGACCAACCTCAAAGCCTATGCACCGCAGATCTCTTGATATGAGCACAGCTTTCCGTGCTGTTAAGTCACAGTCCTCGAAGCGAGTGGAGTATGCCTAGTCCGAAGCCTGGCAATCACCCTAAATGATAAGGGGGTTTTAGTGATCAACCTCATCACACAGTTTGTGATAATGGGAGCGGCGAATGATTGCCTTGATAGTATGTTCTAAGTTTGTAGAGGCATGGCGTAGGAAATTCGAATCAGAATCCGACCATTCAGCCAATATCGATAGTTTTTCTAACCACTAGACCTGAACATTCCGCGAAGAGGCCTTGATGAACCAGAATCTCGTCTGTTCGTCGAGTCCGAGCTTGTAGAAGACACGGTCTTCTGTCCGAATGTTCTCACAGAGTGTTGGCTCATCCGCCGACTGTTTCCCACCCGAAGGGCATCTCTCAGTGCTTTATTGTGGTCACCTCTTGCCCAGTCTTCGGCGCTTTTCCCGCCGGTACTTTTTAACGTCACGGTTGCACCGCCTGATACTAGTTCTTTGATGACGTCTTCGTGCTTGTGTTGTACAGCGGCTGCTAATGGGGTCTGTCCATGGCGTCCAAATAGATCTACTTTCGTCTTGTACGCGGGATCTAGCAGAAGCTGAACGACCTCCAGGTCTCCGTTTGATGCAGCAGTGTAAAGTGGCGTGTTTCCCAGGTTGTCTGTTGGATTGCTGTCAGCTCCGTGTTCGAGGAGTAAGGCAATAATACGAAGGCGATTGGCGTGTCTCTCTCGGGTACCTCGAGAGGATCTCATTTCGACAGCGACTTGCAAAGGCGTCTTGTTCTTTGTTGATGTGATGTCGGGATCGGCTTCGTGACTAAGAAGGAAGTCCACCATATGCTCATTGCTCTCTTCGCAGGCTATTAACAAAGCAGTCTTGCCAGTTAAATCAGTAGTGTTCACTAAGTTAGGCTCACGGTCATAAATGAGCCTAGCAATGGCGATGTCGCGGCCATCCCGGCTGTTTGATTGGCATTTGTGTAGAACGGTTCGTCCTAATTTGTCAACTTTATTGAGGCTAGCCCTATGGTCGAGCAATGATTGGAAGATGTCACTGCACCTCTCTTGGGCGGCTATCAACAAGGGCGTACACTCGTCGCTATCTCGGATGTCGACTTGCTCGACCTCGACTAGCATGTCTCTTAAGACCTCAAATTGTCCCTCTCGAATCGCTAGGTGGAGCGCAGAGGTTCCTTGAACAATGCTGTCAAACTTGAAAGTCGGGGAATCTATGGCGAAAGATGGATTGGTCTGTATTCTGCACCATGCCAGAGCTGGGGACTCTGGCTCATCCTCGTATTCCCAATTTATCTCATAATTTAGCTCAACATTCGCATCTTCCAGGAGCCTCGTCACGTAGGATTTGAGCCCGCGGACGTCATTCGGCTTTCGAAGCATTTCCAATGCCCTCACTAAGCGCTCCACAGACCGCAGGTAAAGTCCGTGAGGAAATGGGCCGAGAGTCTCGAGCAAAGTCGCCGCATCGTTTAAGGTATTCTTGGCGAGTTTGAACTTCTCGATATGTCCAAGTCTGCCCTGTGCCAGATACAGTTCGCCGATTTTCAACTTTATTCGCCCGTTCGCCTCATCTGTCAGCATGTAATCTTTCTCCTCAATGAGGTTCTCGAGCAATTCGGTCGCTTCATCGTGGCGTCCAACGGTAGGGCACTGGAGCAAGAGATCTGCTTGTTTCTCGACAAGCAAGGCTTCATCTTGAGCACTTAATGGCATATTTTTCTTTATTCTTCGACGGAGCTTGATAATGTTTCCTTGTTCTGTAGCAGCTTCTAAATATCTCCTCTGCGACTCGAGTTCTGCGACTCTGTTCTGGTATTCCTGAAGTTCCTGCTGTCTTGCCTTATATAGTATGGATAAGCGGACCTTGGCTTCGGTTGTGACGCTCGCTGTCTCGCTGGGTTCATATAGTGATGTGTCTCGTGTGGGAGGTAAGCTGTCGCTGAGCCTGGCGTTAAGCTTGAGCCTGATTTTCTCTAACTCGTCATCGCCGTTATGGTACGGTGGTGCGGGAATTTCGCCCTGGTACATTGTAGCTAAATAGGATGTGCGCTCCCTTCATAAGGAGAGGCATTATGTCATTAGCTTCGGTAAAACGTTAACTTCCAAGCCATTGATGCCGACTTACAATGAGAGTGTCATGATTACTGTTTGCAACGTGCTTGTCTGTTTTTGGATAGCATGTTCATAGTCCTTGATAACGCGGTCATTCATGAGCTTTCTTAATACTGACTCCATCTTTGAGAATATGCCGTCATCCGGTTCTGACGGCAACTTGTCGAGGATCTTTGCTGCTAGGTCCTGTGAACTCCGTACAATTGTGCAAATCCATTCGACGGGGCCATCGTCAACATGGTTCATATTCGGACCGTTGACAACCTTTTGGACGAATTCCAAAACATTTTGAAGTGTGTCCATGCTATACTTCATTTGTGCCAGCCAGTCGTGGATATCCCGGGCATCGTCGCTAATATTTTTAATGAATTTGGCCAGTCTAACGCTGCAGTCGACGATGCTGACCGCTGAAGCCACCACCTGGAACACATCGGCCCCAGTCATGATAATCATGCGCTAGCTGTTGACCAGCGTATTGTGGGAAAAGGCCGATACACGGATTTCGCATGATGCGACTGGTCTGCTGTTTTGAGGTGCGACGAGAGAATGAAGAGGCTGAGGGGATGATGCAGATTAATCGTCAAAGGATGCGGAGAGTACTACCTCAAGCTCCTCCGACACACGCATAGCCTGCGCATCCTGCGCATTCGGTGTAGACTACTATATACGTAGTCATAGGCCGCCTGAGAATGAAGCTGACTGCTGGGATGAAGCCCCAACTCCAGATCATTGGCCCGTTTAGCTGGTGGCTTATGATTATTGGCGGCATGACGTAACAGAGACTCAAACCTCGTCTGGGCGTGGTGCGCGCGCCTTGTAGGCAGAAACGAGATACGGCAGGCAATTCAATCTGGGGGGCAGTGTCTGAGTGAGATGACTGTAGTTACTGGGACCGAGTTATTTTGCAGATGCGGCTCTGCTTCTTATTCCTTGCTCTGGATCCTTCTACAAAGCCCGACTGCATGGCATCCTGACGCTTCGAGGTATTATTTGTTTAGTCAACTAATTAACTTCCAACGTCAACGTCCATTGCTATGACTCAATACCACGACATAGAGTTGAGAGAAGCTGGCGAGGAATTCCACGGTGATGGTCGAGGTGCAGCCAACCAAGGGCCGTCAAACGTTTTAGGTAAGAGGGTGCACCCGTAATGCACATTATATTATGTTGAGGGACTGACGTGGCCTTAGCGAATTATAACGACCAAACCCTTCGTCGCGATGCGAGACAGTTTGCTGTCAGACAGCTCGGTATGAACGACCAAAACGGCGATGTCGACAATTTCATCCGGGCCGCGTTTGTCGCACGGGACAGTGATATCTATTATGCCGTCGCTCGCGGTGTGTTAACATACGCACCTGGAGAGTTAGACGTCGACTTAACTGAAGAAGAAATGGTGGCACTACGGAAGGAGAAGGACAAGTTATTTAACGAGCGCGGTATCACCATGGTTAATTTGGCTGTATCGTTGGCCGCTATACTACAAGGTCATGTCCAATCATCCATCAATGGCGCATCGCTTTACGCATCAAAGTTTGGCATATACACTTCGCGAGTTACTGCTACAGGCGCACACCAATGGCAACTTGGAGGGGTGAATGCTGTGCCATTCTTTACAGCGGCTGTGCTAGGTTGCTGGTTAGCATTGCCTGTCAATAACCGCGTCGGCCGGCGCGGTGGTATGATGGTGTCTGCAGTTTTGATCTTCATCAGCTCTCTCCTCGCAGGCTTGACGGCTTTAATTCTGAAGGAAGAAGACCGATGGAAATTTTTAGTTGGAGTGAGAATTGTGAATGGGATTGGTAGGTCTGAGATTCCGGCGATAGCTTTCGAATGGTATTGGTTTAAAAAGACTGATGTTACTGACGCAAGACTAGGGATGGGAATCAAGGCCGTCAGTACTCCTATTCTCGCCAGTGAAACGGCTAGTTAGTCCCCTACCTTCATTTTCCCCCCTTAGACAGATTTCGGTCTCATTGCTCTTACATGGTCCCGAAATATGAGCTGAAATCTTCTCCTCTCTGCTAATTGCTGACCCCAGCATGCAAATAGTTCGCTTCTGGAGAGGCTCCTTCGTGCTGGCGTGGCAACTATGGTAATATGCTCATTTCTTGGGAAATATAATTACAATCTCCTTGGATGCTAATCGAAATAGGGTCTCGTTCGGTATTATGATTGGGTTCGTTTTAAACCTGATATTTGCCGCGATTGTTCACAGCATCTATGGCGATAGTAATCAGGAACTCACCGTCTCCCTGATTTTGGGGGCGCCACTCATATTTTCCATAGCTATGCTAGGGGCCGTCTGGAGATGCCCTGAGAGCCCTCGTTATTACTTGCGGGGCGGTCGATCAAAATACGATCCTGGAACAGCCTATGAAAAGCTCAAGCAATTGAGAAACTGTGAGGTGAGTGTACCTGCAAATTGAAGTAGTCTTTGAGGTACCTAGGACCGAGTCACTTGTCTAACAGTTCCTATATAGCTGCTTGCCATGAAAGACATATACTTACTGCACAAGACAATTGAGCAGGAGAGTCAAGAGACTGGTCTCGATACCCTTGGAAGCAGCGTGTTTACCAAGTTCGGTCAGCTTTTTACGAGGAGACGACTTCGTAATGCTCTTATTAGTACCTCGGTTGTTAACCTTTCTCAACAACTCTGTGGCAGCAAGTTCCCTCGAATACACTCAAATCTTGCGGATACTAACATCAGATTAAGTCAATGTTGCGGCCTTTTACTCAGGAACTTTCTTCGTTTCAGTGCTATATGGAAACAACACAGACCAACTCAACTACGACTCCGTCATTTCAGCTATGATCTTCAGCTTTGGATTTGGTATGTAACTTAGTATCTATCTACTAAGACAAGAGAATGACACTGACACGATGGATTTGCCCAGGAGCTGTAAACTTCTTTTTGGGCCTCCCAGCCTTTAAGACTATTGACACCCTGGGGAGACGGAAATGGTTGATATGGACGCTTCCAATTATGTCTTTCTTCATGCTTGCTGGTGCATTAACATTCCCAATACCATGGGACCAGCGAACAGATTACAACACTGTCCGAATGGCGGCGTTTTGGTTATATCTCCATGCGGCTGTTTACTCGCCTGGCCTTGGTGCGGGGCTCCTATCCCACTCCTGTTGAGATACGTACTGACTATATACAGGGCCAATACCCTTCACGCTGGCTTCAGAAAGGTAATTAACTGCAACAGAATTAACTTGAAAGTATAAACTAACGCTATATTAATAGTTTCCCACTTTCCCACCGTGAACTTGTTAGTCTATGCCACACGTATCTGAGGAATGCTACTGACATTTTGAAGGGCTGCGCCTTTGCTATCGCAGTTAATCTCGGATTCGCCGGACTTCTAACCATCGTCTTCCCAACGTAAGTCTTTTGAATGCCCACTAGTTCTCTAGCTATAGCTCACACAACGTAGCATCAACAGCAAGCTTTATCCTTCTGGCACTCTAGGTTTATTCTCAGGCTTTAACTTCATTGCCTTTGTACTCGTCTATCTTTTGGTAGAAGAAACAAAAGAGCTGTCGCTAGAGGACCTCAGCTACGTCTTGAACGTGCCAAAACGTGTTTTCATACGACAGCAAGTTGATTATTTCAATTGGTTCGCGAGACGGTATCTATTGGGTAGGAGGAATGAGATGGCCCCCGAAATGGGTAATGGCGCTGGAACTCAGCCGATAAACAGCGAAAGAGTGCAAATTCCTGAGGTCGAGGACCGAAGCTTTCGCACACACTCTGAAAGGGGAAGCAGAGTATCAAGTAGCAGGTCTATATCACCACATCACATAGAAAACCATGCTCACTGATGTCAAAACGCACTGAGCTGCAGAACTGAAGGGATTACTGGATATAGACAAATAATATTGTATCTTTGTGGAAAAAATTTACGAAATCAATTTGAAGCAACGTTTTGCTCTATGTACACACTGTTCCCTCTTCCAACCCCTTTACGTCACACCCGATGACACACTCTTCCCCGAATCTCCAGGCGCTTGCCGAATAGATTCATTCTCTTTAGTCGGAAGCGTTGATTGCTGGCCATCGTCCAATTCAGTCATCCCCACGATGATCATAATCATCTCGGCGATGCATTTCATTGTCACAGAGCTGATAGAGATACCGGCAACAACCGTGACTCCCACTGCAGCAACACACAATGCGGCTACCATCGCCCATGCGGGATAGAGTACAAGAAGGTATAGACGCAATGGTGTCAGTTTAGGGAGCCATACCACGAAGACTTTGTGCAGCATTCGCCAGTTCGTAATCACCACCATCGTCGCCTCAATGTACACGAGCCATACCATGCCTAGATATAATAACAGTGCGGCGATTTGCGTCCGGCGCGAGTGCGGTCGTAGCTGTACAGTAGAGCTCGAACGGAACTGGTTCATGAGTCTGAGGGCGAACCGATACGGGCCTTCGGCGTCTGCATTAAAGGCCACGTAGATGATTATCGCGGCGAGAGCCCAGAAATGGGGCTTGCGAAGATGCTCTAAATCATACTTGGTGATGGTGGAGCAGTCAGTGGGCGCTATGTAATAGCAATTGTAGCTGTAGTTGTTTCCGCCGGTGACTGTGCCAGTACAAGTCAGGCCACGTGTGTTGAACGAGGGAGCGGGCACTGGCGTAGGAGTGGAAATGGCCTGATCGAGCGCCATGCTGGTCTAGGTATATAACATGTGATGCGTGGCTCTGTTCATGGGATTGCGGCAGAATCAAAGTCGATGATCTGAGTGAACTCTTCAGCAATTTAAGGATTCGAGATGCTGATGCCGGTTCTTAGTAGATGGATTAACCTATATGAGCTAGTATAAGGCAGAGAGGCTCCGCTCAGTGAAAGGGGGCTGTGATTTGCAGCTGCGCCAACTTGGCCAAGATCTTATCTGGAGTTGAGCTTTGGGCTACTCAGGCCTACGGATTGAGAGAGAACTGAGGCTGAGCGTATTCTCAGTTTGCGGCACCCTCATGTCAGCCAGATACGGCGTAGTCAGTCATGACTATGTGCTTGAGGATCAACGGTCATCTGCTGCCACCATTCATGCCACGATGTAAGAGCACTATTCTCTTTGAGGTGTAATGATGCGTTTAGTCTGACTAAGTTTGCTGATCACCTCGCCTGTCGAGCACTGCCTGTGTATTGATTAACACAGGCAGAACACTAACGCAACCGAAAAAAAAAAAAAAGCAGCTGTGGCTGATAAGTATTTCAATCAATATACGCTAACTATCCTATGCTCAATGCTATCACCTGCGTCTTATCCCCGAATCCTGAAATCATCAATACTCCGCATGATCTTCGTATTAGACGTTCCTCTATAGAGCAAGCGCCGGTAATTTGGATAGGAACAGATAAACTAAAGGCAAACCACCGTCGCTGAGAATATGCTTGGCTCCAGTGATATCATTGCCCAGGGCCGCAAGAAGCCATTCATCAAACGAGACGAGGAAAAAGTTGAAGAAGAGGACGCCTTTGAGGAGATGGTCCAGATAATCACCCTTCCTCTTAGCAATTGACACCTCATCAGATGATGCTGGTTGTCTGTTGAGTCGAACGATGTAGAACAACGTGACGAGGAGTGTGGTGGCAATAAATATGCCGAAGATGATTATGATAGGCCGTATGTGGTCTATGCTCGCCCAAGCATCGGGTAGAATGAGAGTGAGTTGGCCGACAAGCCCTGTGAGAAGGAGGGCTGTTCCAGGTATTTGGAACACCAAGTAAAATATGAAGCCACCCAGGTCGATCTGTCCCGCCGACTGAAGGCTGGCTATTGCACTAACCTCAGCCTTGGTGTCGGCTTGTATCTGAGTAGGTAGAGAACTAGTGACACCCTTCTCTGCCTCTTCTGGAGTTGAAGATGACCCCGCTGGCCTGGTCTCGGCACCCGATGTTTCGGGTGCGGGGTATTCTGGGCATCCGATTTCTTGATCGGGGATATGTTCGTTTCCAAGTTCCGATGTTTGCGCCGGATCGCTTACTATCGCGTCGCCTTTCTCAGGGTCTTTGGAGTAAGGAGGGGGTGGTTCATCTCCCTGGGGCGTAGGAGTTTCTGCGTCGGTCCGAGGATCCGAGGCTGCCTTCGCTCGCATGGCCTCACGGTGTTTTGAACTCCCCGAGAAACATACCATGATGATGAAATTCAAAAAGATGATGAGGTTACCGACAACGCTGACAATGAGTTCCCAGCGGTGCAGACGGGATAGGCTGGTACTGTCGTATGCTACCACGAACACCATGGCACCAATGCATAGCAGCTTATTGTAGCTTTTGTGCTGTAGTTCCCGACGAGGCCATAGCGGACAATTACCCATAAGAAACTGAGAGTAGATATAGATGTTGACTACTTGATTGACGAGTCCCAACACCCCAATGGGGAGGTAGTAATGTTGAAGATCGTCCCGAACCGAGGGCTGCATCCTGCTCGTGTCTTCTTGGGGAAACAGGTTTACTTTCGAAAGCCCAATTTCTTTTCATAAAGGCGAGAGGGGAATCACGAGCATCTTATTTTTTGATCGGGGGAAAAAAACATTGGTGAAGTGTTACCTATGTACGAACTTCTAGCCTTAGGCATTAGGTGTGCTGTAGGCGTGCTGTTCAGTGGCTATGCACCCGCTAAGCCGCAGATGGTGAGGAACAAGGCAGATTTGGCTAGCCAGGCAGGGCAACATCCACCTGATTGCCTATGCTTGCCGGGGTCTTTTTCCACATCGACTACAAATGATCAGTTCATGTTCATTTAACCATGCATCGCTCAAGGTTGGAGAACGAGTTTCCCTTACTATTACTCGCTTGGTCCCTTGACACTTTGTATAAGGGCGTTAGACGGCGTGTGGAATTCTTGGCGTCGCGAGTACTATGCTTGACTTGTTCGCAGATGAGGTCATTGACACCCACAAACCCCCGCCATATCAACAGCATTTGCATTTGATTCTAGACTCCGACCGTCACTTTGAAAGAATACATTGAATATCAAGGAACGTGAAGGGGGGATGCTAAGATCTCGATTGCTGCGCGAACTATTAGGGGATGCCAAGGAGACGAATGAGTGGCACTTAGGTTTCCTCTAGTTATACGCCTCTTTATGTCTTTGTCCAATCTTTTAATCTCACACTATCATTATCTTAGATGGGATGTGCGAGTAATAAGACGAGATGATTTACATTAGCTCAACTATCGTCAAACAAGAACATGCTGTCAGCTTTCACAGGATATTCAAACCCGAAGGTCTACAGCTCAAACTGAACAAATCCTTGCCTACTTATTTCATACTGACCGGATCATCCTGCTCACCGCCGGATGGGCAATTAGTATTTGTTTGGGGTCGTTGTTTAAAGAGTCCCAAGCATGCTTTCATTGCCCAGCGCACTGGAATCAAACAGCACTGCTCAGACAGCGCCAGTGCCAAGAATATTGAACCTGGTAGTTGAGACACATGAGAACTACACAAGCATGGGATGAGAAGTGACTAAGACTATCACAGTGATAGTTGTAGGGAACAACATAACGAGAGAGTTGGGTCTGATGAGTCGCGCTATAGTTATAATAACTACAGAGGATTAGTGTTTTATTCTCTACACCGAGAGATGTGAGCAGCCGTGAAAGCTCTGAGTCCGATAAAGCAACCGGGTCTGCGACAAGGATGAAAAGGAAGTATGCTGTTCGGAAATGAGGGACGTAAAAGCAATTGTGCGAAGCAACCAATCTTGGATACAGTCTATCACAGAATCAAATGACTCTTTCATTACTCAGATGACTGACCTGGCTGGGACAACATGACGCAGATGAAGGTGAAGTGTCGGTCCTTTGCATCTTACATACATACACATGACGACCCGACACATATGCGCATTGAAGGGTTCAATGCAAGCTATGAGAGACACCAATGTCGAGAATGGTGGTAACTTGAGTGGGCGGATAGATAATGTATCCCTAGGGAGCTCGACATTGGATAAGTGGTCCTCGGCAAAACGCAGATTTGATCTCGGAGTTAGCAAAATAGCCTAGCACAGCAGTTACCATAATATGCGAATCATACACAGCAGCTCAATAACGAATAAAGCATTACGATGATTCCATTTTCTTTCTTCAGTACTACCGATGGGTAGCAGATCCAATTGTGCCATCAGGTCGCACAGCCTGCTCTTAGCTTATGGCCAATACCTGATTCTTAGCTGCACGACAAACAGACATATGAGAGCCACTCCTCCTGGGAACCCGATTCCTCAAACATCCAGGATCCAACACTTATCCGAAAATCAGGTGGAGTGAGGCAAATCCACGTCCCAAAGGCTCTCATCTCCCTTCTCAATCTTTTCGTCACGCCATCTGCGCCAAAAGACATGAAACATTGGTCGGCAGATCATGGACAGGATCATGTGCTTGGACATATAGTCTTCAGGAATCTCTGAAAACTCCCAGATATTATGCTCCAGCAGGGCCGTAACTTCCTCGCGACAGTACTTGCATAGCGCCTCCATATGCCATCGCGACAAGGGCTTTTGATCCTGACGCACGACAATGACGCTTCCGACTCTGTTCTGCCATCGCAAAGGAGCATAACCCCAGCCAATGACACCCGTAAGGTTGTTCGGTTTGGCTTTGGAATCCATACACAGGTGTAGATATGTGGCGTCTTCGTTGACGTATGCGTTGCTATTCTTCGCCCAGCTTGGGTCTGGTGGACAGGGCTTGGTGAACACAGGGAGGCCAATACGCTTGGCAATATCCGAAGTGTCATATTCAACGGTCAGGACATCCATCATGGACACCTCGATCTCCTCAAAGTGTGGCTTTCGAAAGCTACGTTCGTCGCCGCTACAGTTGATTCTGACACCCTTGACTTTTGTGTCACTTGGTGGGTACGGAGGCGGCGACCTGTTCCAACGGCATGATATGAAGTAGTCGGCAACATGTCGGAAATCATTCAGGTCGATATCCCTATACTTCGTAGGGCCTGGCTGGCCCTCACCAAGTCCCGACTTGGCTATTCCATATGCAATCAGAGGACCACTGTAGTACACCATGTTAGTTATCGCGATTTGTAAGCTGTTTGTTGTTTCTGAGAACAAATTGAAACCATATGATATATGGCCACCCTAGCCGGGAAGAGATTATGATTCTCTGTGGCCGAAGGAATAAAACAACTGTCAAAGCTACTTACCACATGTTATGATAGGCCTGTCAAGGAACATTATAGCACTAGGGTAAAAGTTACCCCGAAAGGTGGGAACAGCGTAAAAGTTAGCTATATAAAGGTATCCAAGCTCCCTCTTTATATTTAGGGAGTTAGGAATTAATAATATTAAGCCCTTACCTATACCTTTAACCTATCTACTTTTTATATACTACCTATTAATAATTTAACTTTACTTTAAAATAAACCTTTATAATAAGTTAATTCTTCCTTTTATTTTTTAACTATTATTAAATTATTATAAATAATTATATTAAAGTTAAATAATATAATATTCTTTTATATTTTTAATAATTCCTTTAACGAAATTATAAATGTATTATAGGTAGGTTAAATCTTAAAGGTTAGGTATAATATTATAAATCTCTTTAATTTTATAATAGGTATTTAATAAAATTAAAGCTTAAAAAAAGAAAAAATCTCCTTTAAAGTATATATAGGAAGGGTATATAATATATATAAAATATATATACTTTAAAGGCTTTAGGATACTATAGTATAATAATTATTCCTTTTTCTTTAATTAGGTTATCCTTAACTTAATATATAATTAATTTATTAATTAAATATAAAATAAAAGGTTTAATTATATAAATATATAATATAAAATGTTATAATAAATATATTAATATAGTTTATTTATATAAAGTATTATTATAGTAAAGGTATATAAATATTAAACTTATATTTATTTTATAATTTATATATATTATATATTACCTTTATAATAAAATTTATATATATATTCCTATTAATTATTTATTAACTCTTTTTCTTTTTTCTTCTTTTTTCTTTAACCGCTATTAATTTTAAAAATTAATCTTAATTAAAAACTATTATATTGCTTCTATCTTTACTTCGTTTCCCTTTTTTTTTTATTATATTTATATTATTATTACTATTGTTTAAATTATACCTCCTAAGGGTAAAAAGGGTAAGGGTAAGGCCTAAGCCCTAAAAAGCGACCGCATTACCTATAGCGGTAAGGGTAAAGCGTTATTACTATTACCATTATCTAAACATAATAAAAATATAGATAAGGAATACACTAATAACAAAATACCTATACCATTATTATTAGTATTATTAGTATTACTTACTCCCCCAATACTATTAGCACCGCTATTAGGCAATAATAATAATAACGATAACCATAGAAAGGATAGTTCGGGCTAAAGCTATAGTAAATCTACTAGCCCTCCGCTTAATAATTATTTAAACTATAGAAGTAATTTAGATATTAAAGGTAAAAACCCTTAAAAAAAATATAAATAATCCATAAAAATAAAAAATCAACGCTATAATAAATATATTAACCCTATAGCTATACTACCTATATTAATATATTATAATTATATTAAGTATATTAAATATATATATTAGCTTAATTTTAATTTTCCGTTTAAACTTAATTATTTATTTAATAAATTTAATTCTATTAATTATTATAGCTATATTAAAATATATTAAATATATAAACCTATTAATATTTTTATACCTATATTATATATAAATTATTATTTATTTAAATTTAACTTTTATTTATAATAGCTTTTAAAATTATTTATTTTATTAAACTTTTTAAATAGAATTAATAAATATTTATATTTAAAATAACTATTAATAACATTTAAGCTATAAATAATAATAAAGTAAAACTTTAATCCAACTTATTTAAGTTTTATATTAATATTATAGCTATTTAATATTACTTTATTAAATTATATTTATACCTTCTTTTAATTTATTAAAGTTATTTTAATATAATTAATAATTAAATTAATAAAAAGGTATAAAGCTATTTTATACTTATTTTAAACTTATTATATATTATAATAATATTATATTTATATTTAAATAAAAGTATTTTTTTAATTATAATTATATTATTATTAAATAATAATCTATTATTTATAATATAATTATATTTATTTTAATTAATACTATAAATAACTTTGCTTTATATTCTTTTTATACGTATTTTTAATTTAAATAAAATGTAATTTAGCGCTAAAGCTATTTTTAAGCAATTTCTTTATATATATATTTATAAAATCCTAATTTAATTATATAGCATACCTTTATTTTATTATTTATAATAAAAGTAAAAACTTTTATAATTAAACAGTATAATAATACTTAATAAAGCAAAGTTTATAATTAAATAAAGCTTTATAATATTATTAATTTTAATAATTATTAAATTTAACCTTATTTTATATATAGCTTAATAATAAAGCGTAGTAGTTTTTTAATTTTAAGGATAAAGGTTTAATTCCTTTTATATTAAAATAGTTAGTTTTGTTTTTTTTTTTATAATTAATTAAGGATTTTAAAATCCTATTAGGCTTATTTTACATTTTATATTAATAGTATTAAATATAGTTTTAATTTATATTTAATTTATTATTTTTAATTTTCTTCTTTTATTTTTAACTTTATTGTTTTTTAAAATCTTTAATTATTTTTAATGTTAAAATATTAAATTATAATACCTATTAATTATATTTAAAAGGCTAGCTTTTTTATTTAACTTTATAATATTAATTTCTATTATATATTATTTTATTTATTATATCTTTAACCTTTTACTTTTTTAAATTATTTTTAAGGTTTAATATAAATAAATTATATTTATATTTAATAGTCCAAAGTTTAATTAATTAAATTAAAAAAACGGGATAAAAATAAATATATTATAATAAAAAACTAATATAATATATTTATAAATTAACTTTACTTATAATTTTAAAAGGTTTTATATATTTAAATATTAACTTTTTATAATAAAACCTTATATTCTTTATTAATAATATAATTAAATCTTTAACCTTAAAGGTTATTAATTTATATTTATTATTATAATATTTTATATATTATGTTAATATAATTTATTATTATTCTATTATTTTATTTTTAATTATTTTTAACTTATTAAATTGTCCTTATATAGCTAAGATTTTCTTTAATGTAAAGTTATTTTTAATAAATAATTTAAATTTAAAAATGTAGCTATATAAAGCTTTAAAAGGTAACTTTTTAATTGTTAAATTAATTGTTAAATTTATAATAAAAAAGGCTTATAAAAAAAGTTCAAGCTAATTAATCTATTTTTTATTAATAAAATATTATAAATAACCTTTAATTATTTAGTTTATTTATTTTATTTAACTATTAATTTTAAGGTAAAATATAATTAAAAGGTATTATTTTATTTTAAAATAATAATAAAGGTTAAATTAAAATTAACTTATAAATATAATGCCTTTATTTAAAATTATACCTTATAAGTTATTATATAGGTATTTAATTTTATTATAAAAAAGGATAGTTAATTCTATTAAAATAATAATAATATTAATTGGAAATAAATATATAAATTTAATAAATCTATTAATAATAATTAATATAAAGTTAATTAGTTTTCCTTTATAAAAGGTTTTAAGTAAACTTATAATAAAATTTATAAAAAGTTCCTATATAAGTTAATTAAGAATTAATAAAGCATTTAATTTATTATATTTTTAATAATATTTTACTTTTATTTTAAAGTAGATTATATAGGATTTTATATACTTTTAAACATTATTTTATATATCTTTTTAAAAGAATTTATAGCGTAAAAGTTTTAAAGTATAAATTTAATTAAAATAATTAATAATAGGTTAATTATAATATAATTTAATAAATTAAAAATAGAAGAACTTTTTAAAGGGAATATAAATCTTTTCTTTATAATAAATTAGGTCTTTTTTTATTAACTATTAAAGGTCCGTAGCTTTTTTAACTTTAAGTTAATATAAAATTGCTTAACATTTAAGATCTTTCCGTTAAACCTTTAAAATTAAATCGTTTAAATCTTTAAATAGCTTTAAGTTTTTATTTTTTTTAATACCTATAGCTATTTATATTTATTTATATATAACTATTTATATAAAAATAATCCGTTTAATAGGTATATATATAATATATAATTTATTAATTAATATTTTAAGGTATAAATTAAGGACTTTAAATTGCTATATTATAATAATTTTCCTTTTTAATATAGGAAAGATATTTATATTAATAGGTAAAATAGTTATAAAATTAAAACAGTATAAAGGTAAATTAGCCCTATTTTTTTTACCTGCTTTATATTTAATAATAAAGTTAAAAGAAGTTAAATATATATATTAATAAGCTTACTTCCTATTTAACTTTAAGGTCCTTATAAATGTTTAAAAATTGCTATAATTAATTAATACTTTAATTAATAGGTAACTTCTTTAAAGGTAATGCTATTAATGCTTAAAGTAATTTATTATTATAAATATTTTTTAATTGGAAATACTATATTATATTTCCTATTTAGAAAATTTATAGGAATAAAATATAATTAGTTTAAATATACTTTAATTATTTTATTAGGATAGGTTACCTATAAATGCTACTTTAAAGGAATTAGTTTTTAATAATATTTACTTTTTAAAGCTAAAATATATAAGGAAAATAGCCTTCCTAAATATAGTTTAAAGATCTTTAAATACCTTTATTATAGCTATATTTAATAAAATTTAACCCTTTTTTATTTTAAATGTACTTTTCTTTAAATAATGCGTTAATAATAATATAATTTAAGAAAATTTATTTATAAAGTAGCAATAAAAGTTATAAAACCTTAAAAATTATTATAATTTTTTATAAAAATTTAAAATAAACTATTAATTAATTATATTAATTTTTAAAGGATTTATTTTAATACTTTAATTAAAAATAATATAGCTTAAAAATTTAATCTTTTTTTAATAGAATTAATATTTAAAAGGTTTAACGTAAAGGTCCGCTTTTTATAATCTTTTAATAATAGTTTAAATATATTTTATATATAATTTCTTATTTATAAAAAATATAAAAATATTATTTAAATAAGTAATATAAAAATTATTTAAAATATTATTAAATACCTTTTA